TATTTCTTTCAAAGATATTTGATTGAAATTGTCCGAAAATGTTTTATTTTTATCTTTTTCATGGATTATAATCTAATCTCTGTGTAGTTATTCATATATATTTTATTACACTTTTTGTGAGAAAATAACATTAGTTTTTTGTAAGAAATTGAGTTCTTGCATAAAAAAATGACATCTCAAAAACTTTCAAAAGCATTACAAATCTGATATCTCTAAACACAGATAATGATATTTTTATGTACTTTATAAGTATTATTCGAATATATTAATTAGAATCTTCAATACAAGATTTACCGTAACTGCAAATTTAACATTTCTCACTCAAAATTCCTAACATATCCAAAATTATTTTTAATTTTGTGGAAGTTATCCTTTAATTTCTAGTTTCATGTCCCATTTTAAATAAAAATGTGTTTTTTTTAGTTGAAAATTTATATATTAAAAAAAAAGTGCTCCGAAGGTAGTCGCATACCTTAAAAAGAATTTTATAGACATTCCATTCTAGAAAACAAGACCTATACGTATATATCTCAGAAATATGCAAATAAAGGCAATTCCCTTGCACGAATTTATACCTATGCTTTTCTGAGCCAACTGTAATATTAAAGTGGTTATTGAGATTTCACATTTTCCTCCGAAAGTAGATATCTTTGTGAGCGAAACTCCATCCAGATGTATGACAATATGCTTCTCTTCCCCCTCAACAAGTAGCCTGAGTACCTTTCTACTCGGACAACTTTGTATACTCGAGACCCGAGGGGCTGCAGTCGGAAGGCTACGCGCGAAACGAAATTGAAACTGCTCTTAGAAAACTTTGGTAGGCAAAGTTGTAAGCAAGTTATTCCATTTTGAGGCTCCTACTATTGAATCCAGTGTCAGAAGTGAAGTTTGTGTATTAAAATTGCTAAAAGCAGTAAACATAACTCTTTGTAAAACTGATCATTAAACAGTTATTGTAGATGATACCAAAATACTTAATGAATTACTAAAATATTTTAGAAATGGAAAATAACTATTCATGAATAAAAAATTTAGAGAACAAAATTGCATTAAAATGCATAGGGATGTTCATAATTGTATCATCTTTTCAGTAATTTAGAAAATAATTTTTTAATTTTCTAAAGTTCTTCAATATTTTATTAATTTATGAAATTAATT